ATCAGAATCTCGACGTCGAAAATGAGGCCGATTTTTGGCAATTTTAATGATGTAACCATCATGATTTTTTGCGAAAATCGTGAGGAAATGGAAGTCCCTTTTTCCGATGGCAGTCGATTGGCAGGACTCTCCCCATCACGAAAAGACATGCCGCGCTCCGATCGGCTGCCGGATAGCAGAGATATAGCGTGCAGAAAACCCAGTATTCTAACCAATAAAATACTTCGGAAGGCTATATTTCAGACAAATAGGGCCAGATCGGTGCAGGACCAAGTCTCCCAGGATCGTGAGAATCCAGACTGAATCGAACTGCATCAAAATCCGTTCCATGGGGTCGGGTAAATGGAGAAATATACTTGATATTTCGCTAAGGACTCCACAGCATTTGTATCTACTATCTAAATATATGGACGCGTATATCCTTAAACCTAACTAAAACGATATCTAACTAGTCTGTGTAGCCCCTCCCTTGAATGCCAAAGTCAAAGTCCTTGTTGTCGATGGCCAGGTTGAACGATGACGATGGCTTGTTACGTTCGGATCTTGCAAGTGGTACGCTTCCTGCTGGGATATGATTCTGGCTGGCTGGAATATGACTCGGTGTGTCTCGAGCACGCCTCGGTAATGCTTGGATAGCACAATTACATACTGATTCACTTATGCGTCTTGAAAGTGAAGTCTAGCGTTTGATTCGACGGAAGATGAATGATGCAACGGACTGAACGCCACATTGTCGACACATACCTTGGACCTCCCGAGAGGACGAGAGCGGAGGAGGTACCGACGCGTCGGCGAGTAGAACAATAACGAACGTCCATGATACACACTTTATTTAAATCCACGTAATGTACGAGTATTATTCTGTTATTACTCACTGAAGAAATTTGAATTTGCGGCAGTTTCTAAAACTCATATTTTAAGTCGCTGCGTGGTGACTGGAGAATCTTAATTACTTTCCTTAGCACATTCTTTCTTATTTGTATCAAACGCAGACCTTCTAATAGTGACCGTCTGTACTGATTTAGATGGAGTGCTATGGGCTCTGGAGTGGACTCTCTGCTGCTGTGGGAGCTATCGTTGTCTTCAGTTTCAATCCCGCTGTCGCTTAGAATTTCTTCTGTTTGAAGTTATTGAATATTAGTCATTGGCTTTACACCTGTTTTACATTTTCCTTACCGTCCATTATCATGATTGCGACTAGGATGATTAAGATGAATAAAATCCGCACTTGTGCTCACGAAAACGTAGGCTCCATTTAAATCGGAGAAGTTTATTCATATACAAATGTACCATACATATGTATTTCGTTCCACCCTCAAACTATGGCAGTCTTTATTGCACAAAGAAAGAAAAAACTAATTTTTAAATGCAACAGGAAAATCACAGATACAAGCGAACAGACCGCTCACTGTGTTTTCCCTGCTGGATGTTTTTCCATCCACTGAGGGCGCAAACTGTTGCTTGTTGCCAAGAATTGGGGTCATTCGCTGCAAGCTAAAATGAGCTGGCACTTGTATTAGTAGGTCATCTGTCGCGAGGCCCGGGTCTCTGCTGCACAGTCCTGTGACGTCACAAACCAACGCGAGTCGCAGTCAGAATCCAAGTTCAGAACACAGGGGCGTGAATGCAAATCTCTCTCTTCAAGTTCTACTCGCTCTTTTGGCTGCGAAAGAGCACCAATGAACCCATCCGCCCTGTTGCACAGCCAGTTTTCAGTTCACTCAACAATTATTATTATTAATAATATATTTCTCGTCTCACGTATATTGCCTAAATACTTTTTGCTCTTACGACAAAACCCAATCGAAATGGGCATGGTACAAAATTGGGGTTCAAGCCCCTTTAAAGAATCTGCCATTAAAGCTTTGGCACACCGCGGTATACGTACGTATTTTAATTGGCCTTAATTAACGTGCACTTGCAGACCAACCTCTTTGGGGCAAGATTTAAGCGTAATTATTTTAAAAATAAAACCATAGCAAACGATTATTGCCGTGGCAGTAGCGGATAACCTGGATGGGCTGTTCTTAGGGATACTTGAACCGGGCAGGCGCAGTGAGTTATGACCGAGTAATGAGAACCAAGGAGCGGCGATCCGATGGCCCACAATATCAGTTCGCGTGTCTCAAGTGCATTGCTGTGCAATTTACGCGGGGCCGATTTTAATAAATTCAATGACTCCAATTTGTAATTAGACGCTGGAGGTGCGCTGCGTGCTTTTAATTGTTTTGCAGCCATCCTTGGTTGCCTTTTGGCGCAACGGTTCCGCTCGACCCGCAACGCAGAGAGCGGTCCGGAGGTCAGCCGCGTGCCCATAACGCCTCAGAGACTGCACTCAGAAGTGCATAACCAAGACTCTGGCTATGCCTGGTACCCCACCGTAGGGGTGCATGTACATAGGTTCAGAAGTAACCTCATAAAGCATATACATAACTTATACGCAAGTGGCTGGCTTTCCATCCGGATGAACACCTAGATGATCTCGGACATATCATCCCACCAGGATGGCGGCAGCCACGATGAAGAAAATAGGTTCCTGTAGTATCTGAAAGCCCCCATTGTTCTCTATTAAGCAATAGGGTATTCCATTGTCGAGGCACTCTCTCTGGTTTGATGTTTTGTGTGCGTTTTGTATGATAACTGGTATAATTTATTTGCTTTAGCTTGTGAAAAATAGCTATATTTCTATTAAATGTAAATAATAAATCAAATTTATTCTTTCCTATTTTTGCAGAAGTATTTTTTAAGTTCGTTGCATACGGCCTAAGTGTTAGAAAATGTCTGTCTCTATTCAACTTATAAATAATTAAATAAACAATATTTACAAAGGAAACTATAAAATATAGGGTTTTTTGTTTTTTCCTACTTTCTTTCTGGGTCTTTGTGTGTATATGTGTGTATGTGTGTTTTGTGTGTGTGTGTGTATGTGTGTGGGTGTGTGTCTTCAAGTCTTGGAGCTCTTAAAAAAATGATGTACAGTTCTTAAAGTTGAATTTTGAATTCTCTCTGTGCATGGCCGCAGAAAATATATAAACATATATAAAATATATGTGGAAATAAAAAATTTTGTGGGTGGGGTTTGTGGTTGGGGTGTAACAATTGATTTGCCGTATTGCAATATAAGATATAAAATAAATAGCCTTTTACTTTCGGTTTTGCTAAAACAACAATATAATATTGAATTCTTTTTAAGTTTTTAAGTTTCTCATTTCGCGGAATTCTACGTATTAAATGTACATATGTATGTGTATCTGCATTACTGACTAGCAGTTAAAAACGAATAAAAGTCATAGAAAATAAATAAAATTCAATGCAAAGGGCAGGCCGCTCTGCACTTAAGTACGTAAAACGAAAACTCTATCTCTCTCTCATTAAATTGACTAATTAATTGATTAACTCTATACAAATATGTGTTTATGTATGTGTTTGTGATCTGTCTGTTTCTGTGTGTGGCTGTCTGTGTGGGTGTATTTGTGTGTGTCAGTGTGCAAATGGAAGACTTTGCGATCGTTGTTGTTTTAGTTGCTGTCACTTAGAGTTCAGAACTTTAGCTACTACTAGCTACTAGCAATTAGATTACACATTTAATTTATACAGTTATACTCGTACTCTTCCTCGCCATTTTTTTTGTTTTCTTGAAAGCTCATTTGGTACAACGATTTTGCAGTTGAAATGCAATTAGTTAGCATAGATATTTATAGGGACGGCAGCTGATAACTAGCTGGCGTCGTTCATGCAACATGTGGCATTGCTGTGGCTACTGCTGGTGCTGTTGCTGTTGCTGCTGCTACTGCTGCTGCTCCCATTGAAGATCTCCGTTTTGATGATGCTGCAACTAGTTGGGGCACTGGCTGTGGCAGTGGCGGTGCCAGCCCCTGCTGGCGGTGTTCCTCCCGTCGTTTGCAAGGCCAACATTTGTTGCGCCTGCGCAACGCATGCAACACACGGACACGGCCCGCCCAATTTCCTCGCCAATATCGATCGCAACTTGAGAGCCGGCCCCAGCTTCATGCCCAGCGAGTTAACCAAATGATCCTCGGTTAAGAGCGGCAGCCCGGTGCCGTCGATGGACTGATCACGGAACGACTGCAAAGAGAGCGAGAGAGAGAGAGAGAGAGCGGAAAGAGAGAGGATTATTAGTTGTCTGTGGGCATGCGTGTGTGTAAGAGTAGATTTATGGGCGGCACAGTGGTTCATGTTCGAAATTTACAATTCAAAAATAAATGAGGGACATCAGAAAAGTACTATATTTCCCTCCCAATGAAACTCGACTGATGCCCGTCCAAAGTCTATACAGAACCACAGTGCCAGTGCCAGTTCCAGCCAGGAAGCCTCTTGGGCACAGGGCATCCTGTATCTCTCTGTGTGTGTGCCTCTGATTAATGCGCGACTTTTAAAATTGTTAATGAAAAACGATTTTAGCCAGGGCTGCCTGACTTGACTCCGGCTCCTGCTGCAGTAGCATTTTCATATTTGCAACGCACGATCGATTGAAAGTGGGCGCAGAGAGCGGCAGGCACTGCCACTGCCACTGCGACTGCCACGCCCCCCCACAGCTCTGCTCTCTAACCAAACTCCCCTTTGGGGCAAAAAGCGAAGCTCGCGCCACATGAGATTTCTATTATAGATTGGCCCTGATTGAATTCCAAGCCGCACTCGTTCGAAAGGGGGGGGCAACCTGTTTCAGAGCCAGCTGCTGATGTTGCAGTTCCTGCTGCTGCAACGGTTGCAACTTCTTCTGCTGGCCAGCAACTAACAACTGCCACTGTTTGGCCATCGAGCTGTGGCTGTGGCTGTGGCGGTCTCCCGCCTGATGCCACTGCCACTGCCACTGCCATTGCCTGTGCTTCATGTTGGACACGCCTTTATCGGGGCAACTGTTTATGGGCTGCTCCACATCCAAATCGATTGTTGCGATTCGAGCGATTCGCCGCACTAAACGGACCTCATCATCTATATATAAGAGAGGCAACCAGGGCGCTGCTCCAAAGCTTGGGATTGTAGCAGCGATGTGGAGGATACGGCTACTCACACTGGTCCTGCTGACCCTCGTCCAGATGGAGGCGACCAGGGTCCTCGGGCAAAAGTACTACATGAACTTTGCCTTCAACAACAACAATCCCGATGCGGCGCTCAGCGGCGAGGGCAACGGCGGGGGCGGCGGCGGTGCCGATGGCAGAACGTCCCCAAACGAACAGTACAACGATCATGGGATCGGGGATGAAGGTGACCATGACGCCGATAACCTCAGCTATCACAACGCTGACGGAGGCGATGATAACGGAGATCATAACGAAGGACCCCAAGGGGATCATGGCGGTGATCACGACGCTGATTACGTAGGGGGTGATCACGATGGTGGCGATGGAGGCGATGGAGGCGACGGTGGCGACGGGGGCGATGGGGGAGACGACGGTGGTGGTGGCGATGGTTTTCAAGACGATTACGTTGACAATGGCGATGCCAATGATCATGGTGGTGATGAAGGCATGGATAATGGTGACGATGGCGAGGGAATTCCCGATCCAATTCCCGGCGTTGATGACGACGACGACAGCGACAGCAAAGACGCGCACAACCGTCGCCAGAAGTTGGCCGAGATTGAGGCCGAGGGAGGCGCCGCTGCGAATGGAGCACACAGCCACCACAGCAGCTACGAGATCAGCATCGACGACAGCTTCGGCGGACGATATGTGCGCTCCATCTACGAGAGCAGCGAAAGCCACGGCCACTCCGGCAGCCGGGCCGGCTCCGGCAGTGGGGGCAAGGCGGACAGTTCTGACAGTCAAGGAGGAGGAGGTGGAGGTGGAGCCGCCGCTGGAAGGGCACGCAAGGCACCCAAGGCCCCCAAGGCCAAAGAAAGAACGTACGGGATAGATGACTACGAGGAATACTGAACGTATGTATGTAGTTCCCTGACCAATCTTTCAGAGCAAATGCATATACTGAAGTATCTGTTTTCGTTTCTTTTCTTTTTGGCAGTATAGCCCGGCCGTGGAGTTTCGGAGGTTGAATAATCCTCTTCACATGAATTCATTAAATATATGTCAATAAAATTTTAAATATAGAACAGGGAATTTCATAGTTATGGATGGGGTGTTCCCTTTCCGACAGTAGTAATTGGTGGGAAAAACGATAAGAAATAATTGCTACACGTTAAACAGCGAATTACACTCCGATGCAGGCTCCAATAAAGCCACTACTACTCTCAGAGCATTGCCAAGCCTTCAAATCCTTCAAAGATAATCCCTACTTGCGACGCAATTACCTTGCCGCTCTTTCTCTTTCTAACCCACGCACATTAGCGCTGGCGCAGAGGAACACGCTCAAAGCGCACGCACTCTTTTCGCTCTTTTTGCTTTCGATCCTCTCTGAGCAAGTCGTCTCTCTCTCTCTCTCTCTCTACGCACTCTCTCGTTGACACCTACACAGCCATGGCACTGGCGGTGGACAAGAACAAGCATGCACTGCAATGCGAAGGGCGGTGGACAAGAACAAACGGTAAATAGTCAAGAAAGGCAACGGAAAATAGCACTGCAAACAATCTTGTGATGAATACAAAATACACTGAGAACAATACCAAGATGTTTGTACAGAAAGGGCATGACCTTGCTCCCAGCTGTTCCTATCGAAAGAATGCAAAAACAATACATTCCATTCCCCCGTTTTATATTTTCTTCATAAGAGTATGGCATAGAACTACAAATACAAATATTTTTTTACAATATTTATATTATAATGCGATTTACATTTTTATTTTCTCCCTACTAACCAACCGAATAATGTGCGTTCTGTGACCAAGTAACCATTTAACCTTTCTCAATGCCCATTTAGAAATAAAAATGAACTATGAACTCGAGAGAACATGTGTTTTATAAGTCCAGAGCTTGACTCTATCGAATCGCATGACACTTAATTGCCGCTTCATTAAAATTCAACTATGGCCTGATATCACAATTGGCAATAGATAATAGGATCGGTCACATGCCCAGCAGGCGAGGTTATAAAGAGAACCCAGATGGTATCTATTGACTTTCACACTGGCTACGACCAGCGTGAAGGTCGTCGCGATGCTAAAGCGTTGTTTGTGGACCATAACCCTGCCGTGGATTGTCCTTAGTCAGACCTACTACATGAACTTCATCTTCAATAACTATCGATATGTGGACCGGGAACGTAAGGAAGTGCATACCGATGGGAAGAACTATACAAAGAACATGACCATCGAAGAGGAGACTCTGGAGATCAATTCGATAGAGTCAGAGACTCTGGAGATCACTTCAAAGCAGATTTCGCCCAAGCCAGGGGTCTCCTATGAGGACTGGCCATCACTGGAAAGCCATGAATCGGAACTGTCTGCATCAAACACGGATGAGGATGATAAGGCTGATGAGGTGGATACGGTTGACAACATTGTTGAGATTATACATAACAATGGGAAACCGAAGAAAACTACCACCATCACCACAGAACGACTCACCACAAAGAGACACATCACAAAACACACCACTAGAGAACCCACCACAGAAGAGCCCATGATTAAGTATCCAGTAGCAAACAAAAAAAAGAAACCAAAACCCGTCGTAAACAAAGACTCTACAGTAAAAGTCGAAGAAGTAACCACGGAGAAATTGGCTAATGGCATCCTAATAGATATCATAGACGACTCTGGCAAAGGGGCCCAAAAAGAAACCACTACCAAAACCCCAGAGCGACCAAGAAAAACAACCCCAACGAAACCAAGAAAAACAACACCAAAGAAACCAATAGAAACAACTCCAAAAGAACCTCCAGAAACAACCACACAAGAACCTATAGAGACAATCCCAGAAGAACCTATTGAAACAATCCCAGAAAAACCAATAGAAACAAATCCTAAAGAACCTACAGAAACAATCCCAGAAGAACCTGTAGAAACAAATCCTAAAGAACCTATAGAAACAATCCCAGAAGAACCTGTAGAAACAAATCCTAAAGAACCAATAGAAACAAACCTAAAAGAACCTATAGAAACAATCCCAGAAGAACCTGTAGAAACCATCCCAGGAGAACCCATAGACACAAATCCAAAAGAACCTATAGAAACAATCCCAGAAGAACCTGTAGAAACAAATCCTAAAGAACCTATTGAAACAAATCCTAAAGAACCTATAGAAACAATCCCAGAAGAACCTGTAGAAACAAATCCTAAAGAACCTATTGAAACAAATCCTAAAGAACCTATAGAAACAATCCCAGAAGAACCTGTAGAAACAAATCCTAAAGAACCTATAGAAACAATCCCAGAAGAACCCGTAGAAACCATCCCAGGACAACCCATAGACACAAATCCAAAAGAACCTATAGAAACAATCCCAGAAGAACCAACAGAAATAACCACAGAAGCAGACACAGCGGATGGCACTTCAAATAAGACCACAGAATTGAAAACCGTCACACCCCATCCCCCGGAATTCTTCCACTATCCCGGAGCCAAGTGTCACGAGGAACTGGATCTGCACGAGCTGTTCGGCATCAGCCTTGAGAGAGATCGCGGCCTGCCCAGCAAGGTGTTCTGTGATTTCAACAATGACTGGGGCGGTCCCTGGTACCTGATGACTCGCATCGAGCTGCCGAGTAGGGTGCACATGCGGCATTGGTTCTTTGGGTATTTGACCGATGACTACAACGACATGAATATCAACTTCATTTCCCTGGCGCACATCATGAACTCCATGCGGATAGCCATGCTGATCATCGGACAGGACAACAACGACAAGTTGGTCTACAATTTGTACGACGATGTGGTCATCTCGGGCTTCAACGATCTCTTCATGCTGCGCAAGGCCCAGCTGGTGGAGGCCAATACCACAGATCTGCTGTTCGTCTCCGTGGGCGATGTGATCAACACGTTTTCGGGTCGGAATCGCTCCTGTCCGTTCCACGTGATGGGCGGCTGGTGGGGCTTCAACACGTGGCGCCCCACATCCCAGTATTTCTGGTGAGAGCAGTTCTCATTGGTACTCAAGAGTTGTTCCGTAGAATTTCCCAATGACTTCCTTTCAGTGTCTTTCCCGTGGATAGGGACATCAAGCGTCCGGGCTTCATAGCCATCTTCATCAAGCCCAGTCCTTTTGCCGTCAACAACACGGCCCTGTACGAGAATGTCATAACCACACGACGTCCCTGGGTGCCCACCGTCGACGCCATTCTCATGGAGCAGGCTAACCACGACCAGAAGGTGTACCACCAGCTCAGAAATGAGGAGTTTCAGGACACCAAGAGGGCCGCGCTGGCTGAGCTGGGGCGTCGCTCTCAGATCTTCAGAGACTTTGACAAGAACCGAATAATGGACAACGGCCAGCCATTGGGCACTACATAGCACACGAGCATATCCTAGGCTTAAGGACGAGAGCTGGTACTCACAAGAACAAGAGAGAGAAAAGATTTTAATCAAATACTCAATAAATATACGATGAATTTTTTTCTATGGTCTTTTCACTGGGGGGAGGGGATCGGATCCATTCATTTGTGTGTTGCCAAGATTTCGAATATTTAAATATGCAGAAAATCTACGATTTTACGATCTGCCTTTTGTTAAAGCAATTTGTTGCACGAAGAAGAGGCATGAATGTGATATTCATTTTGTCAATGAATCGAAGAGAATAGAATTATAATATAAATGTAATTTGATCTTCAAACATTCTCTCTTCGAAAAAACAGATATCAAACTCCCAGTAAAAGCTTTCTTGGGTGTCCATTCTGCACATTTCTCTGGCAATTTAATTATGAATTTATTTCCCTACTATCACCACAACATTACCACAAAAAACACAAAAAAAAAGCCAGCTGCAGAGTAGGAAAAACGCCAGGTTCTGACCGGAAATTGGTGGCTTTTACTCCAATGGCCAGGGCCCACAGAGCTAGCTCTCTTCGGCTCTGTCATAATTCTGTTGCTCGGGCAAACGGCGAGGGGGAAATGGGGAAAAGACCAGGCTTTGATTTGGGTGCCTCTGTGGTTATGGCCATGGCCATGGCCAAGTGCATTGGGCCGGCGAGCATTGCATTCTAAATTCTGTGCCAATAATTGACAGAGGCCAACAATAGCAACAACTGACCAGCCGAGCAGCCCACAGCAACAGCAACAAGAACTTTGCATTAACTACGATAGAGGCAGAAAGCCTGGCCATAACAATATGGGCCAAAAGCAGATTTGAATTGTGAGTCTCTTAGGCCTCTCGGCTCTTGACTTTGAACTCCTTTCGAGCAAAGAGTCTGCCAGCGAGGAGGTCTACACGCAATGTAATTGGACTGCAGTCCATTGGACTGGGTCCATTGCAGGCAATTTAAGCAAAAGAACAGAACGGAAAGCCCATTGCCAACAACAAAAGCGAGCAGCAAAAAATATGGAAATATGCAAATCATTTTGTTGCATCAAACAAAAGACTCGAAAGAGAAACGGGGCAGCAGCGGATCCGATGATCGTGTGTAGATTTTTCTTTCCCCAAAAAAAGAAATATTAATTAATGCAAAGGAGACTGGAATTTATGTAGCTTTGATGGTTTCGCAGCTAATATTTATTTGGCACACAAAACAGATACACATTTGCTTGATTGAAAATTAGCATACGAGTCCGCAGTCCATAGACCATCCATCGCCTGGAATCTGCGCAATCGTGGCGGCTGCCAAAATATTTTCAATCAAATTAGAGGCCGACACGTGAGATGCTTATCTCTGAGCTACGCCCAGACTTTCAATCTAATTAAACTTTATAGTTCAAGTTTTTACGGACACGAGTGGTGACCTGACTTGACCATGGGACACAGATGGTTAAATATCAATGAGAGGAGGGTTCGATTCGACGTTGATTTGCATACGACAGCACCAGACGAGCACCAGCAAAAGATTCGTCAAAGGTTTGTTTTAGAGCCAAAGAACTCGTAAATATTTGTTGCGTTGCTTCTTTTTTTTATACGACCTAAACTCCGGTCTAGAGTCATTCGTTCTTTTCATTTTGCTGGTGGCTTTAATAGAGCTATAAAGTTTAGGCCCAATAAAGCTATTTTGTTGCGCAATATTTACATAGAATTCAAGTGGGTTTCAATCATA